AGGAGGAGGAGGAGGAGGTGGAGGTGGAGGAGGAGGAGGAGTATTAGATAACGCATTTCCAAACAGAACGTGCAAACACAATGCACTTTCTTCTTCTTCTTCTATCCCGTAGTTGGGGCAACCGTGGGCCGAAAACCCTGTGCTAAAACTATTTTTGTCCTCTGCTTTCCTCTATGCACTTTTCAATAGTACAAACAACGCGAGCGCTCCGTGCGGGTCTCAAACTACAGGCAGAACGTGAAGTTACCAACACATTTATCTCCACTGACAGATGTTCCATTATTGGACGATGGCTTGGTCTTTGTGGGACCTTTGTTATTCTGAAAAGTGCAACACTTGTCGCAAATCTAACTGTAACTTGATAATTCAAGTGGCAAGCATCACTTTAAAAAAGGTGGGGGGGAGCTACACCCCCAAAGAGAGTCCCGATTCGGCTCAAAATTATGGAATTTGAGCTGTAGACAGTTTTAGCTTCCTCAACCTCTCCTATAACTATTTCATCGCATAGGAACCACAAATAAAACGTATTTTTCCCCATACCGGGCTTGTTTGTCACTACCATTTCCTCAAAAGTCGATCTTTTTTACTAACTCCACCATGTTTCATCTAATCTTCATAATATTTTCACCGAATGAAGAAAAGATGTAATACTAAAAATTTGTTGTTTGAATTTTTGATAAATGGAATAGATTTTTGTTTGTGGTGTCTGGAGCGTGGATTTTCACGAATTTTTTTAAAACTTGAATGCTACCCCAGTAACAAATTTCTAATTCGTTTGGTAAAAAAAAACTGCAAAACAATTTTGAGATCTAATATTTGTTAACGCGTATGCAAAATACAATGAATTTCTATGAGCAATAAGTGCGGTATTCATTACGTAAGACATGTCAACAAAATCCAATATGGCCGCCGTATCCATGGAAACGAAACTTTTTTCTCGAATTTGATTGCAGATTTTAAGAGTCCTTACTATGCTTGTTATATGTGTGAAATATGGTTAAAATTGGGTCCGCTAATAAGCGAGATAGCTTTCAGGTGTAGCCCCTTAAGTTAACTAACCTGGATTGTACTTGTACTAAAAGAAAACTGTAATCACCGACGTGGGGGTTTTTTAAAAAACTGGTCGCTTTTAGATAGGTCCAAGTGTAAAAGGCGTTCATTAATGTGATGATTGTCATTCGTGATGTTCCAAAGAAGACAAAAAAAATAGTAAGAACGAAAAAAGACGGATAGAAAAATACCCAGAGTAAACTCTTGTGCTAACATAAGCATTTAATACTTTTTTACAGGGCAGGAATACGCAGCAGTTAAATATTGGGTTGCACACTTTAAAGATCCCTTGATGGCCTAAAATTGATTAGAGTGGGTTTCGGCCGCCACCCGGGCAAAATTCAACATTTCCTACAAAATGAAAATGTTAAATGTGTCCCGCGCGCTCGTATGACCTTATGCAGTTGGGAGCGCCGTAAAACGCTAACTTAAAAAACCCCAAAAAAACAACCAACAAAAGGACTTCCTACGTTCTTGCCGGGAGAGGAAAGCGACAATTCTTCAACTAGAGCGCCACGATACTCGTGTTAGTGCAAGCTTGCCAACAACAGCAGTCACGAAAGGGTAACGAACCTCACGAATATTATGACGTCTGCAGTTTTGTGGAACACTTGCTTTTTTCTTCTTTTTT